ACTTCAAAGGTGAATATGACATGACACTTAACATATGTCTTCTATAATATTATAACACCCGGTTACCAAGTACATCTCAAACATGGATCTTTTACTAGATAGGTTTACTAATAGGTGTAGCTATATAGGAAGCATATTATCAGCATGTTTCTATCTCAGAAGATGATATTTAGAGTGTTTTAATGCCAGAACTAGGCGCCTCCGACAGCATTGTTCATTTGACAAACACATAATAGATAAGATAGATCTTGATATACAGTTTTCTTTCTTAACGATCTTGAAGATTATCTCGAGCATGCTTTATTCCAAGGATTAGAACTTGAATACGTCTTTGACAATATTTGATGCTTTCTCTAGTTATTGGTGTTATTATATGCTGATGATACAGTTTTTTTGGCTAAAAATAGTTACAGAGGAAACTCGTTTGGCTTTCATAATATTGTGATAAAAGGAAGTTTTAGCTTAACCCCGATAAAACGAAGGTGCTTATATTTGGATCTGGTCCACGTAAAAGAAACAAAACAAGTCTATTTTATAATCACTGTCAACTTGAAATTATTTATAATTATTAGTATTCAGGAATATTCACTTAAAAGAAACTGTGACCAACAAGTGCAGTAGGCATTTGGTCAAGGCATCAATGGTTTCAGTCAGGCGTGCACAAAATGTGAACTTTCAATTAGATTGCCTTCTTTGCGTATGTGAATTATGGGGCCTTGAAAATACTGATCAAAGTGCCCAGCTCTACACAATATACTTTTTATTATTTTGTGTTTGTCTAATTATATAGTTGATAAACGTAAAAGGGGTTATTCTTTTCCATTGTTAAAATTAATTATGCAATTTCTCAATAGTTGTGGTCTTGAATACGTGTTTTCGCAGCCACATTCCTTTCATAAATCGTGTATTCTCTCAAACCTGACTCCGACTACGGAGAACCATTTTAATAAAAATGGTATTACACGGAAGGTCGTTTAGTATCCTCTATATACTATCCTCTATGTACTAAACGACCTTCCGTGTAATACCATTTTTATCAAACGAGTTCATAATTTGGTATCAAACGAGCGAAAATGAGTTTGATACTAAATCTTTCACGAGTTTAATAAAATGGTATTTCACGGAAGCGAGTTTAGTATTCTGTTTATTACTCTCCAACATAAATTGATAGAAGTTGAGTTGAGTTGAGTTTTACGTCACATCGGCATTATTCCAGCCATATAGTGACGAGATCAAGTCTGAACTCATACACCAGTCCAAATGAGTTTTATTTTGAAAACATATATATTCATTACATTATTATTTAAAAACAGAAAATGCCGAAGCACCAAATTCAAAAGCAAGCAATTTATTATTCACATTACATAGCTACAAGTTATGGTACAGGTCAACTTCCCTCAGGTAGCTAACAATGAGATGCCCGCTGACGCGGAAAAGCAGGTCTTTCAGATTTCTCGCTTCATAATGCGAGTCCCTTGCAGTCGAAAAGTCCACGCAGTCAAGCAGTATATATGCTTGATGGTGAACATTTCATCGCAAGAGACCCACATAGGAGGTCCATCTACATCCATTTTCAGCAGATAGTGATGGTAAACCGACTGTGGCCAATACGACATCGCCGTAGAACTACCTCATCACGTCTTGAGCGACAACCTAAGTAGGTATAACCAATTGTTGGCTTCAATTCATGAAGCCATAAATTTATTATCCATAAAGTTTGTTCTATATTCAATTCATGAAGTTTATCGCTTCCGACTTGGGTATCCCACCTTTTTTTCATAAGGTCCAGAGTATAACTTTTGATAGTGGGTTTGAAATCACTGTAAGGTATTAGCAGTGGAGATAAGGGCTTGTCAAGAGCTGTTTTAGCTGCAGCATCGGCCTTTGTGTTACCTGCTATGCCGACGTGACCCGGCAACCAGCAGAGGACGATGTCACATTGACCAGTAGAAAGGTCGTTGTAAAGTTCTAAAATGTTTAGGATGACAGGGTGACTTGAAGTAACATTTTTCAGTGCTTGAAAGCAAGATAATGAATCTGTAAAAACGGTGAAGTTTTTGGAATGGTTTTGTTGTTTAATATAGGTCAAAATTGTGAAGATAGCTTTGGCCTCAGCAGTGAAAATGGAACCATTGTTGGGAATTCTAGAGGAGACAGTCTTGGATCCAATGACTGTAGCACTGGCAACATGGCCATCATCCTTGGATCCGTCTGGGAAAATGGATCTATGGGTGTTATACTTGGAACGTAACTGGTTGTATTCCTGTTGGAACACCAAAGGATTTGTTTCTGACTTTTTGAGTTTGGTGAGGGTAAGATCGACTTGTGGTTTCACCATCTGCCACGGTGGCGAAGACAGAAGTGGGTAAGGTGCTATGATACTGAGATCAATTTTAGCTGCAGATATGTGTGGTTGCATTCTGATACCAAGCGGTGGAACCAGGCTTAGCAGATTAGGAAACAGGATTGAAAACACAATTGTATGCTGGATAGGACTGATTTGAACGTAATTTAGTGATACACTGCAGTGAAAGTTTAATGCGGCGTTGTTCAAGGGAAGGTTCGTTAGCCTCCGCATATAGACTGTCTACCGGAGAGGCCCTAAAAGCTCCCAGGCAGAGCCTCAGGCCTTTCTGGTGGATAGAATCTAAGTTTTCTAAATGCAGCCGTAATCTAGTTTAGAGCGAACCAATGATCTGTACAATTGAAGGAGGGTAGTCTGATCCCCTCCCCACTCTGTATTTGAAACGATTTTTAGCAAGTCAAGAGCCTTCAAGCACTTTGTTTTCAAATATTTTATGTGTGGTAAGAATATCAAGTGACGGTCGAATATCAATCCCAGGAATTTGGCCTCTTCTACTAACTTGATGGGAGTACCATCTAAAGATAGGTCTGGATCCTTGTGTGGTTTGTATTTACGACAAAAGTGAATATAACTTGTATTAGATTTTGAAAACTTAAAGCCATTTTCATTGGCCCATTTTAATTTTTTTTTGTTAAGGCAGAGTTGTAGCTGCCTTTCTATTGAATGTATGTTCTTACCAAGGCATGAAATATTGATATTATCCACGAAAAGGGACCCATAAACACAACTGTTCAAGACGTTAGTGAGGCTGTAAACAGACAGGATGCTGCCTTGCGGGACGCCCTGATCTTGGTCGAAATAATCAGACAGAGTGGAGCCCGCCCGTACTTGATATCTGTTGTTTAAAAACTGGGATATGAATTGAGGTAATCTGCCCCTCAATCTGCACATCTTTTAAGATACCATGTTAGCATGTTTCCACGTTGTATCATATGCTTTTTCTAAGTCGAAAAAGATAGATAAAGTATGTTGTTTGTTGACAAAGGAGTTTTTAATAAATGATTCCAGACGCACCAGATGGTCAATGGTACTTCGGTTCTTTCGGAATCCACATTGGAGGTCACTAAGAAGGTTATTGGTCTCCAAGTACCAGGTTAATCGATTGTTGACCATGCGCTCCATGGCTTTACAAACACAGCTAGTTAGTGATATAGGACGTAATGATCCCGGCCAGGCTTTGGTATAGGGATGATAATGGCATTATGCCAGGAAGGAGGAAAGTTTCCGGTTGTCCAAATGTCATCAAATGTATTGAGTAATGTTTGGAAACATGGATCAGGTAGGTGTTTCAGTAGCTGATAATGATATCATCAGCTCCTGCTGCAGTGTCGTGAGCAGTACGTAACTCATGGAGAGAAAAAATTTCATTGTAATCCTCACCATTATCAGAGTTAAACTTGACTGCTTTCTTTTCCTGTTGGGTTTGGTAACTCTGAAACTGAGGATTATAATTTGATGATGAGGAATAGTTTGCCATCATGTTCCACATCTTGGACACAGGTGTGCGGGAGTTGATTTTGGACACATATTTCCTCCATGACCGGCGTTTAGTTTGTTTAAAGGTACGTCTTGCCCTGGCATTTGTCATTTTAACGGCATTCAGGTTATGCACAGTAGGATGTTGTCGGAAATATTTTTCAGCCTTCTTCCTATTTTTTCTAGCTTGTTTGCAGTTTGTGACAAACCATGGTTTGTGTATTTGCGGGTTTGCAGAGGAATGGTTTTGTCTCCAATTTCATTTAGCACGTCTGAAAATAAAGTGATAGAAACTGCCTACAGTATGATGACTCAAGCAAGCAAGGTTTAATACCATTTGGACAGAGGTATTGGCCTTATTTATTATTACACTAGTGATATATTGCCGTACGTCATGGAACGCTTTATGACGTCACGGTGGAAGATGTCTTCAATGACGTCATGTTGTCTTCGCCGACTCTTGTGGTCTTCGATGTCACGTGAAAGTAAAAAATCCTCGGGAATAATGGAACTCTTTCATAGAAGAGTAAGAAAAAATTGCACGATGTTAAAACGTATAATAGTAAGAGGAGTGGGAGATTTCTGAGGTCGATGGGAAAACTGGTGATCTCTGTGAAGCAAGATTTCTATGATGGTTTGGTTACAAATAATATCCTGCTTTCCGTATCACGCCCCGAGCCAAGCTCATCTACACGCTATTACATCTCGCACACGTAGCCTTTGTCAGATATGTTTGTCTCGTGAATAAACATTTGTTTTATGAAAATATGAAAAAAAATGAAAAGCAAATTTCCGTAAATAATCCCAAATACATCTTGCTGATGAAAACGCTTTGTAAACGCTTTGCTCAAATCGACGCTCATACTAAACATACACAGCTGCAATATTGACAGTATAGGTGTCGGCCTGGCATCGATGCAAGCATAGGCAACCACTGCGGGTAAGAAAATCGTTACACAAGGCCCCGGTTTGGTATCCACACCCCCTACTATATAATATGTAGTAGGGGGTGTGGATACTAAACCGGGGCCTAATTTATCGAGTTACTTACCCGCGGTGGGGGCCTATGGATGCAGGGTCATGTCTTGACTGTATAGGACCGCACCTCGGCTCTCGGCTGGTGTCGGCCACGAGGAGAAAGAGCTAGGTCATGGAGACGAGAGTTACGTCCCTTACCCGACGAAGCAGCGTTTCAACTTCCATCAGGTATTCAACAGTCAATAGCGATAGCACGACATGGAGCGGTGGTCGGGACGTGTAGCTCTAGTGACAGGGGCCTCGGCCGGTATCGGGGCGGGGCTGGTCAAGGCACTGGTCAAGCATGGCATGAAGGTGGTGGGGTGTGCAAGAAACATCGACAAAATACAGGTGAGATGTAAAACCAATGAGAGCTGGGACCGGTGTGGGAAAAGTTTACTGTAGCCCGCAGATAGTCACGTGAGTGATATAATGTAAATCTCCACGGTTAGATCGTTGTTTTAATTATATCTGTTGAAATATTCATAAAGTAAAATACCTTTAGAATTGTTGTCACGAATGAAATTCAAGCACACTAAAATGATTTGTATATATTTCCTATTTCAGTAAAGAATTTATTTATTTAATTTTGATAATTGTTTGTGCAAAATATTTCGCAAATCTTTTAAAAGCTTATTTCACGTAAAGTTGTATGGTTCCAGAAACCTTTTAGCGATGTTTTGTCAGAATATTTGTTTTAACTTAATTCTAAAGAATAGAAAAACTAGTTGTTTTGCTCCTTGTGTTAAAACTGAAAACACTAACTGTTAACAATGATATACAATCCATGAGAAATAATCAGGCTCTGTTACTCTTTTGGCTTGTACTTCAAGAAACAAAATAAGAATAGCAGACTCTTTAACACTTATAGTCAACTTTCAGTCATGTGACTGTTCAACAAATATGAGATTTTTATTAAAGTGTTTTAGAAAACTTGTACACTTCTTAAAATATTTGATTTTAAGAATATTCTTCCTCTTAGCTTTGCCTTTACCCATATTTCTGAAATACATACAAAACTGATGACTCTGAAGTAAGTACCTCAAACATATAGTGCACATACATATATTCAAACCAGGAGACACTAGAATCGCTTGATGAAGTCTTCTATGGTTAATGTCTAGGCAACTGTTTGATGAAAACAATTAAAAAATTCATTCTGCGACATAGCTGAATGCTTGATATTGGGATACTGTGTCACGAATTGGTCAGAGGCTGAGTGCAGTCACAAATCCACTTTTAGCATAAAACCCACAAAGCCATCAACATGGATACAGACCATGCTTGTAAACAACTTTGAATTACGATTACATAATTCACTGCCCATGGATTATTTGATGTATTCCTCAATAAACCCATCATTTCCTTGAATGCTTGTGTCTTATTTTCGCCTTGCTGCATATATTAAACAATGTTCCACATTTTAACAAGTGATAAATAGATGTCAACAAGCATCTAGATCTAGTTAATCTGAAGCTGAGTATTGTCCGATGGTCACCCTTTGATGTCAAATATTGGCAACTGGTAAACTTTTCTAACCTTGAATCCAAACTGTAATTGATATATTTTACAAACACTGTAACTAGCTATGATTACCATCAACAGTTAGCTACCACAGGCAGATCCAGGAATTTTCAAAGAGCGGAGTTCAGGGGGTTCGCCAATGCAAAACATTAACTTCAATGTGGTCTTTAGTCATTTTCATAGGGGATGTGTTTGTGTGTTGACAATAACAGGATAACAAGGATTTCATCAACCAGATGATCCATATTCAGTTAAGTTAGTGTTAACTGTCAAGAATGTGTCTGTAATTTCTTCCTGAGAATACGTTTTAACACCCAACTAATAGCATACAGTTAGGTTGACCAGAAAGTATTCACATTATTTTAATTCCCCATTTTCGTGGAATAACAGAAATTGATGCGACCTTTCCCAAAGACTGAAATGAGTGAAGTTTTTCAGTTTCTATTCTTAAAACTTTCAAAGTCAATTTAGCTCAACCATGCTTTTTAAATGTAGAATATTTGTTACTTTAAATTATGGCTATATTTCCCTTCCATTGCCAGCGGCTGAAGGGATGGTGTAAATCCAGCTAGGGCCAATGCAGGAAGCAAATGTACTGTAAGTCCCCATGGTCCCTAGTATGGTGATCTACCTTCAGTTGTTGGCGATATATAGCCCAATTTTATATTGTGTTGTTTTGAAATGATACAACATTTTACACTGAACTCAAACTATTTTAATCGAATTGTGATATTCTAGCCGTTATACTGTCCTTCGCTGGCAGGTTTTTAAATAACTATACATATGTTAATTTTTAGTACATAACTTTTTGTCGTCACAATATGGCTGAAATATTGCCGATGTGATGTTAAATATTAACTCACTCACTCTATTCTTAAAAATGGCAGTTCGCTGTAAAGTTAACTTTAAAAATAAATTCAGGGAAAATAAAAGGGAACAAATTATTGTGTCAGAATCTTGTACTCTTACACTCGAAAATTGAATGCAATAGCTGCCACAAAATGCCACTCAACTGAACTCCACTTAAACACAAACTGCTTGCACTGGGTAACCTAATTATCCTTTCTATCCATAATAAAATCCTGTTATGCAAACTCACTCAGGTTTCCTTCACAACAATATACATAATATTCTCAGTTGTCAGCCTTGTAGTGCTGAATTGCATTTAAATTAGATATGAGTGCATGGCTGAGTTTTGTCTCGGCGATATTTATTAACATTTCAACGTCTCTTTTTGCACTTCCGAAAAAAATGTTTGCCAGTAGACATGAGATCTACACCTATTGTGAATGAAAAGCGAAGGATATCACACCAATGTTATAACAATTTTTCATGATGTCTGATGCACAAGGCTTATGTGATAGGCAGTTACGCTATTATCACATCATCTGCATATGTATAGGGTTGGCATATGTCCACAATGTTTCCTGAACAATGATAATGTTCAATTATATGAGCTGGCATAGCGTTTCTGCAACATGTTGAAAGGATTGTGAAAGCATGTTTTGAAATAGATACTCATATGTTACCATGATGTTCTTGATTACCATATTGCAGAAGGTGATATCTGTAAATGAACCCCTTTATGTGGCAGTATTACATGACTAGCATGTATAAATATATTGTTGTGCTGCAACATTTAAGTAACTATATATGACTATATATATGGCTAGCATGGGACATGTTTTGCAATGAATGAGAATTTACCTTTAGAATAGAGCAATCCAGTCCTGACCAATAAACCCTGCCGAATCGCTCTGGGCACCCGTTTCGCAAAACTATCGTTGCGCTACGACTGTCATAGGTCTGTGTTACTGTATAGAAGTTACGACAGTCGTAATGCTACAACAGCTTTGTGCAATTGGGCCCAGGCTAGCTATTCTCAAAATGTTTGTAGCCCTACAAACTTCTTATGCCCATTCTTTAAACACACTGGCTACGATCAAAGTTAAGAATTCTTAGGGCTACGAACATTTGAAGAATCAGGGCCCAGGAGTTGTTTCTGACCACAAGCTAACCAATATAGGGGTGCGCGGGCAAAACTTGATTCCACGGGTGATGAAGTTTGCTTGTGGTACTTTGTACCCATGAAAAATATTTAAAGGGGACAGTTGTACGTAATTTTGATTCCGAATATAATTTTGTTGTCAGATTGGTTATGGTAGGTGAAAATGAGTTGCATGCCTGATGTAAAATCTGCCAGCTATTGAAAGGGAAGTGTATTTCTTGGAACCATTCTGTCAGGCAAGGCACGGATCCTTTAAAAAGGGGGAAGGGTAACTGATTTTAAGTTTTAAAAAAAACTCCATCCTAATTTTATGGTCACCATAAACACAAGCAAGTTGAAAATCATATTGATATCTATCTAGATTGTCAACGGCATTACATTGCCATTGTGTCTTTATCAGTTGTTCAAATTAGATTAAACCAATAATCTGAAAGCATAGTTTTACAGTTTGTTAAATAATGAAAAGAATAGAAATTAAGAACTAAAACAGACCAATATTTCAATCTATTGGCGTCATTTGCTGCAAACAATGTGGGGATACGGCCACTACATTATTTCACAATTAATCCCTGAAAAGGTTTATTACTTAAATCATCTTTTCTTTTCAACAAATGAAACAAACAATTATGATAGTCATAATAAATAAGCAGCTGTTAGATTTTGCAGCACATCAAGAACTATTTGGATTGGCAACTTAACAAAATATGCAATGATTGCTAGGTATAATCTGTATTAGGAAGTATAGGTGAGTGACAGATATTGTTCATTGTTATTGTTACATGTGTTTTGTAGTGTTTGTAGCCCCATGGCTATTTAAGAAACCAACAATCCCTGACCATTTGTGTTTCAGTATAGTGTACAGGTTATCACAAGCAACTAAGCTAAGGGTGAACAGTTACCTTACATTATCAACTGTGGCATTGGATAACAAATATCTGTGGCCCCTGAGCCCCCTGTGTTAATATCTGGTATGGTGACTGAATAGTTCAGGAAGTATCTTAACCTAAGGAGATGTTTCATCTTATATGTAACTACGCAAATCTGAAATTTCTTTACAGGTCCATTACAGTGACTTTTTCTTCTTCCCCAAATCTCTCCTGTAAGGGGTACATGATGATGCAGTTGTCTTAAAATTTTGCTTTCTGTAGGATATATTCAAATGTTAAAAAAAATATAAAAATAATAACGTAGAATTCAAAAAAATCTTATGGTGTCATTTGCTCTAAACAACATGGGTCTAAAGACACTAAATTATTTCTTGATTGGTGACAAAGGTTCGTTGTGCTTTTATTGTATTTTCCTTTCAAGAAATGAAAATATTCTGATAGTTGTACTAAATAAGGAACTGTTCGATTTTGCAGCTCATCAAGAAACAGCTCCAGTGCTGAAACTACTTGGTATGATACTTGAACCACATAATATATAATGGGATTGAAAAAGTTAAGTTTGAATGTAGGGATGACAAATATGATCAATTTGAAATGATCCAATTTACACACAGAGAAGGGGCAGGAACATGTGAATCAACAACAAACTGTAAATTTTGCTTATGATTAGTGTGTTACAATATGGTTCAGGGTCAGCAATCGTGTGTCTCTCTCCCACTATCAGTAGTAGTCAACATCTGCGTATGTTTTTTACTTTCAGTTTGGTGATTTTAATAATGTCAGCTCTATTGAGTTAGTGCGACAAATACTGTTTGATGCAGGAAAACAATATGTGTGCAAGAAGCATGGCTAATACAGCCGTCTACTTTCAGCACCTGTTGATTTAACATTGATAAAATAAATACATAGAGTGAGTGAGTTTAGTTTTACGCCACTTTTAGCAATATTCCAGCAATATCATAGTGGGATAAATACATGGTACCTGAGGGCGGTGGGCTAGTCTAGTGGTCAAAGTGTTTGCTCATCACATCAAACGCCTGGGTTCAATTCCCCACATGGGTACAATGTGTGAAGCCCATTTGTGGTTTCCCCCGCCGCGATAATTCTGGAATATTGCTAAAAGCGGTAAAAGACTAAACTCACTCACTCACTTACTCACTCACATGGTACCTGTCCTAGTGTGGTCTTATATTTGTATGTAACCTACACCTGTTTGTATTATAAGTATCATTTTACAGGAATCATTTTGTGTTTCATGATCCATTATATACACAAAAGAATAACACTATGTACTGAATTGAAGAAAAAAATGAATACACATACTTTTTTTGATGAGTGATCACCTTTTTAAATGAAGCGCTAAAAATTTAATAAGTGAGACTATTTCAGCAAGTAGGGATATCAGGAATAGGATTTAATGACCATGCATCTCACACCTGAGTTGACCTGATACTGATACATAAATTCATTTCCTGACCTACCTCCAAGAATGATCTGTTTGATATAGATGTATAAAGCCTATGGGTGTAAGCAATATTTTACATCTTACTTCATGTGTAAAAATGTTAGATTATCCTCTGGGTTGAAGAGCATTATCTACTGAATTGAAGAGCATTATCTACTGAGTTGAAGAGCATTATCTACTGAATTGAAGAGCATTATCTACTGAGTTGAAGAGCATTATCTACTGAATTGAAGAGCATTATCTACTGAGTTGAAGAGCATTATCTACTGAGTTGAAGAGCATTATCTACTGAATTGAAGAGAATTATCTACTGAGTTGAAGAGCATTATCTACTGAATTGAAGAGCATTATCTACTGAGTTGAAGAGCATTATCTACTGAGTTGAAGAGCATTATCTACTGAATTGAAGAGAATTATCTACTGAGTTAAGAGCATTATCTACTGAATTGAAGAGCATTATCTACTGAATTGAATGCAAAGAAGAATAAAACAGTACATTTTCAGTAAATGATTACTTTTCATTTGAAGTGCTGAATGTGAAAGTTAGAAGCGAGACCTGAGAAAGAGATTGACGAGCATTAATGATAATGAGAAGAATTTGAAATTTATATGTCAGAAGACATTAAAGATGTTACATGTGTCTGCAGAAGTAAAGCAAAATGGTGTAAAGCAGGTGAAAAACAATATTTTTGATGAGAGATGAGAAATTCTAAAAATGGACCCCTGTGTACAGCAAACTAAAAAAATTTAAGCACTTGAACTCATGCATCTTATAATACTTATATGTTTACCTATCATGGTTAAGGGCAAAACTTACCTGTGAAGGTCCTGGTTAGAATATTGATCTTCAGTAACCCATGCGTGTCGTAAGAGGCGACTAAAGGGACCGGGTGGTCAGGCTCGCTGACTTGGTTGACACATGTCATTGGTTCCTAATTGCACAGATCGATGCTCAGGCTGTTGATCACTGGATTGTCTGGTCCAGACTCAATCATTTACAGACCGCCGCCATATAGCTGGAATATTGCTGAGTGTGGCGTAAAACTAAACTCACTCACTTACTTACTAAGGGCAATACTGTACTCTATGAAGCTATATAATGAGGTGTCACAAGGGTGAAATCATGGTTTTCTATCATTGACATTGAAACTCAGATGCTTCAAGACCCATGAAGAATTGGGTTAGAATTGTCCACAGTAACCCATGCTTGTCGTAAGAGGCGACTAACGGGATCGGGTGGTGTTAGGGTCACTGAGGTCTATGCTCAATGTTTATCACAGGATTGTCTGGTCCACATTCGATTATTCAGACTGCCACTGGAATATTGAAAACCGATGCTTCCATTACTCAGCATTAGCTGACTGCAGAAACTGTTAGCTATCATGAATGGAGTGTTTACTGAGCTCATTATAGGATATTTATATAGCGCACATATCCACGCACTAGTGCATGCTCAAGGCGCTGAAATTGCACTGTGGGACATTGTAAACCTTAGTTGCCACTGACATGAAAGGACTCCATGGAGCAGAATGACTTGGAGTGCGATGAGTCACCAACATGGCAGAGGCAGGGAAACAAATTGAGGGCAGTGTTAGATAAATGACATTCACTCGGCAACAGGTTGCTCGTTATTCTGTCCAGTGATAAGCACAATTCTTAGCTATCTCACACTTGACACTGTAGCACTAGACTAATATTTAGTCTAAAAATATCTTATTTCCAAAATATGTATCTATAAATATGAAATCCAATCCATTTGGAGCACCGATGATGCTTCATTACTAGAGCTGAAGTGAGGCACCCGTACCGCTTTGCGGAAAAGGACAAAAGTTTCTCATGATGCACTAGATTCTGTGCTAAATTTATCTGGGCATGATGAGCAGAAGTTAGAGTTTTAGTTTCAGGTGCTCGTGACACAGGCTGTTGATGGATACCTCTCTCCAAATGACAGATATTAAAGTAGAATAGGATAGATAAATAGAAATAGTTCAGAGAATTATCCATAGACACTGACAGGGGTGGAATTAACCCATTGCCTGACGTCCCAGTCCAGTGTTTTTTTCTCTGTCGGGCAAGCAAATTTGTATATCATGCTGTACCTGTGTCCAGTTGACTTTCCAATGTTAATTATGTTGTTTACTTTAAAAAATCAAGAGGAAAATAGGCCGATATAGTTGGAAAATTATCAGGGCAAGTGATTTTACATGTGCCATTGAACCGGAGTACGCTAGCAATTTTAAAGTTCAAATTTTAAGTTCAAATTCATGATTTATTAGTATATTTCCCATTTTCGCATACATTAAAAGGCAGATTCACTTTCAGTTGATTAAAAGGGAAATTCACGTTTAGTTGACTGCAAGGTAAGTCAACGCTATGCTTTTTCTCAGATACCAAACTAATCAGCATACCTCCAGTCTATATATAGAGTTAACTCTCTTCGAAACTTGAACAACTGATAATGTGGTTTTGCCTAGTTGTCTATGCTAGATATGTCTATGATGAAGACTCATGTTTCCATGGAAACCATTTCACCAATCTATAGTTGATATGGATGAGCTGGAATGATAAAAGGTTTTGCAAATGTGGGCAATGGATCTATGAGTCTGATGCATGATGACATCAATCAAACTACACATCATTTTCCCTTTGTCAGACTCTAGCAGCTGAACTGAAGAGTCAACCTGGCATGGTCAAGGCAGTGCGCTGTGACATATCCAAGGAAGAAGATGTATTGGCGATGTTCCAGACGATCAAGGCTGACCCTGACCTTGGCGGAGTGGACGTGTGCATCAACAACGCTGGTCTGGCCCACAACGAACCACTGTTGACAGGAAGCACCCCCCAGTGGAAGGAAATGGTGGATGTAGGTTTTCTTTTGTACTTGTTCTTTGTTTAAACAACAGACACAGAGATTTTGATGACACACATAGAAGTTACTAAATAGAAGCCATGAGAGAAGAAAGTTCAACATAAACTTTTGACTTGGGATTTAGCCCATAGTAGGGATAAAGGGGTCGTTGTCAGCACGGGTACTACAGATATGTACCCCAGGTACGTTTCTGTATACTGGCCAAAATAAGAATACGGAAACGTACCCTAGGACGATTCCATTCCCATTGTGTCGTATTCTTGACCGGAACTGTCATACTGTTGTATTAGATACATTTGATTGCATTATGTAATTAATGAAAATACACAGTAACGGATATTTCGCGATGCACATGAATACCACTCGGAATCAATTGAACGGGAACAACTACATACGATTTCGGTTTTGGATTGCGGAATATGGACTCGTCTGCCGTTAAGGGTACCGGGTACGTTTCTGTATTTTGACTTTGTTAAGGGTACATATCTGTATACAGAAACGTACCTAGGGTACGACAACGACCCCTTCAGCCATACTAGCATACTGGAGGACTCATATCATCATCTGGTAGAAATGTCTGTCAATGCGTCTCATATGAAATGGGATGGGAGTAAATGGCAGAGAAGCACGACTATTTTCAAGAGTGGTGTCCCACAGTGCTGATTTATATAAAATATTATTAGGGCTACAATTACAGTAAGGCAAAGCACAGGTTCGATTCTCCCTGATCACTATGTGCATGTCTTGTCATGTCATACCTGGATTTCAAGGTAGTGTATTCTGCTGCAGGTGAATATCCTTGGCCTATGCATGTGCACCAGAGAGGCCTTCAAGTCCATGCAGGAGAGGAAGGTGGATGATGGGCACATCATCCTGCTCAACAGGTAGGTTAGACAATGTCAAAGCACTATCTCCGAAAAATAGATAATACCACTAAGTGTCTTCAGATATTGATGATTATCCCCCGCAACAATGAAGTTGCGGGCGATATAGAAATGAGTTCCGTCCGTCCGTCTGTGTGTCTGTGTGTCCGTCACACTTTGTTCGAAGCATATCTCCTAAACTATTCGTGATGGTTTAACCAAACTTAGTACACATATCAAGCATGATCCTTAGATGTGCCTTTTGGGGGTTAGACCCAGATGCAAATTTTATTTTTTGCGGTTTCCATCGAAACATGACTTATGCTGTGGCTATGAGGATGTCATCTTGTCCGAAGCAGATCTCCTAAATTATACACTCTAGCTTCATCAAACTTGGTACACATATCAAGCATGATTCCTAGATGTGCCTTTTGGGGGTTAAACCCAGATATGAAGTTTATTTTTTGTGGTTTCCATGGAAACGTGACTTAGGCTGTGACTATGATGGTGTCATCTTGTTGCATTTCCAAGGCAACAAGTTAGGCTTCAACTGAATTTGGTGGTAGTGCTCCTTTCTGGAGCAGATCTTAAAAACCTTTCAATACTCTCCTTCCACTTTGCCGTATACACTCCAAAACATTTGACATAATCATAACTAGTAGACATATTCATAAAGAGCATTTTGCCGTTGTGGGGGATATTGATGACTCTGTCTTCTTGTTCATCATTGAACCAAAATGCTATTCAATGCTGCTGTTTAATGTTTGATAGGGATGCAGACAATATTTCATCCGATTCACATATACTGAAAGGCAAAAGAAACACAAGTGCAGTCCAATAAATAGTTTATAACATTTTCAGAAGTCAATGTGGAACTGATACATGCATAAATGTTAACAGTTGCAAAGATCATTTGGTTGACAAATGTTTGGGATAGTGCCGTAGCATTTACAGAGACTTGGATGATCACGCATCAAGGTCACAAGGTCACAAAAGTCAGTATCGTGTATGACCGCCATTTGCATTTACCACTGCTGCACAAAACCTGTACATGGAATGCACCAAATTGTTGGTAAAGTGCAGTGGGATGTTGATAACTGTCTGTAGCACTGCTGCTCGAAATTCAACAGCATTTGTTGTCCTTGGACAAACTTGGTTCAGTCTTGGTTCTGATGTCTGGTAAAATATGGCACATCATGGGGTTGGAGAGCATTCATACCATTCCCCCTCCCAGGATCAATATTCTTAAACACAACTGGCGTAGTCTCTGGTTGTAGCTGGGGCCCAATACCTGCCAATACCATTACACTCTGGTTGTAGCTGGGGCCGCCCCATGCATTACTTTCCATCACACACTGATCAGCATAACGTTGACCTCGTCTTCGCCATTTCCTGACATGTCCGTCAGCATGGGAAAGACAGAATCGACTCTTGTCCAAGAAGATTACACAGTTCCACTGTCTGTGACGCCAGCTCAGATGCTGTGTTGCCCACTGAAGACGAACCCAATGGTAACGTTGGGTCAGTATAGGATGATGGGCGGCGATATTTCAGGTTGTTGGCCTTCAGTCGACGACGTACGGCCACTAATGGGGTGTTGGTGGGCTCCAATGGTCCTTTGGGCTGTTTCATTGGCACAGAGGATTGGATCTGCCTGATGTTGACGACAGATGAACTGGTCTTGTCTGTGCGTGGTCACTTTTGGCCTACCACTCCTTGGACAGTCAGCAGTGGTCTGCGTGGTTGCATAACGACTTTTAAGGCCATAAATGGTCGTAACATGGACGTTAAAAGTACTGGCAATGTCATCCGCGCTTGGTCCCTTTGACATGCATTTAATCTTGGCATTTTGAAGTCAGCCATTGAATAGTGACAGAGACAATCTGCACCATTTTATAGCCATATCAGTCAGCAAATGCATGTTCATTTCAACGTGAAACTTCGATTTCCGGACCCATGGTGTGTTTGAGCAATATGTTTTAAAAGTGACTAGTAACTTCAAATGAGGCAATACTAATGGAACAATTCATAAAATTAAACGTTTGAGCCCAAGAAATGTATTCACAATGTTTATTTCATACTAAATATCTAAGACTGATTTTTGACAATTTCCTAAAACAAATTGCGTTTCTTTTGCCTTTCAGTATACATTGCATTGAAATGATTTTGGTCTATTCATCCTTATTAGTTTCATCACACACGTGTTATAATTTCCCTTTTAGATTCTTTCTTATGGTAAAGGTTTCAGTCAAAGGTCCAGGTAAAAGTTTCATGGTATTATAACCTCTTGGTTATTTTAGCAGAATATTTTTATGTTTCTGAAATAGTTGTGATGATTTGAAAGCAGTGATTTCATAGTTTCAAGAAGTCAATTACAGTGACTTTTCTTGTTCTTGTTTCATGATTGTAGTATGTCTGGTCATCGTGTTATACCGAGCGGTGCCACACACTTCTATTCTGCTACAAAGTATGCTGTGACTGGAATAGTTGAAGGACTCCGACAAGAGTTGAGAGAGTTGAAAAGCGGGATCCGTGTAACGGTAACAAGATATCTTATGAATAGCTCACCTTCTCTTAAGGGATTTATCCTCAGAAACTTCCTGCATTGAGAGATCATGTGTCTGTTTATGGTTGGACAGGAAACCTACAATTATGTTACATGACAGACCATCTATATGTGTTGGGGGAGAGATGACGTTGAACACGCTCCCCTATGATCAGTCTCACTCTTTGAAAATATTTAGGGCTCCTTGCCTCTAGGCAGGAGACCTATTGTAATCGTTCGGATTATTATTATTATTATTATTTATTATTCTGCCGATTTTTGTACCAAACATACCTCCTGAACCAATGCTCCGAATCGCTTACAAAAAATCACACAGATGCCCACCGAGGTGTAGATATTCCCCTTAAAAATCTCTAGGCTCTTGGCCCAATAGCAAAGGGGGCATAATTCAAAATTAATTCCAAAATGTCAACGTTTGACAGCAAATATCTCAAGAACTAATTGTTCCAACACTTCCAAATTTCTTGTACAGATGCACAATCGAATTCCCAACAATTTTGCCTGGACGGGTCAAGTCGCTCAAACGTACCGTTTGGCAGTTTTTTTTGTTTTCATTGTTTGGCCATGTTTTTCAGCACTTTTCTGAGTAGTTTGCTCCCAAAATGTGCAAATGCCAGTATGGTAGATGATGTCCTGGTGATTCCAGAACACTAATTGTTTTGAACGTAGACCCAAGAACAACTGAGATACAGCCTTTTAAAGAGGGAACTATTTCTTCTCCGGGAACGTCTTAAAAGGTACATGACCCCGTGACCCAGGCTGTATTTGGAAGATCCGCTCGCATGTCAAAACATGTGTTCTGGCTCCGTTTTGGACGGTGATATCTAGCCCTCAGATACAATAGATAGAAAGTAAAGCCAAGGAGACCTCATCGTTGCCTGCAACTATATTTTTACATTATGTTACATTATGCAAATTATGTTTGGTCCATGGTGTGTAACTAGAGATTACTTGAAATTAATACTAATGGTTAGTTGTAAGTGATAGATTTACGGTAATAATGGTGACAGCATGGTGTGATAGGTATACATTTGCAGGGAGAGAAAAGTTCAATCGGTTGATCATCTGACCATGCCATGCCACAATACATTACTGAGCCTTCTGTTACCCTATCTGGCTGACTTGATTTCAGTACAATATATCTATACGGAGACACTTGGAAAATGCATAACCAAGTTTGATATGCGAAAAAATAAAGCAAGACATGGGATGGAATCAGTTGTTATTATTTATGAAAAGCACTTGGAATAGCACTCAGTCTGTTGAGGAAAAAAATGGAATGTTGTCGACAGGACATGCACAGTGTCTTCCACACTGAGGCACCCCTGTTATCACAGTCAGTATCTCGTGTGGCCTTCATCAGCTCTGGAACAGAGACAGAGACGAGCGATAAAGGGCATAATAATGTTCCTACATTCTTGTTCGAAGGCCAAGGTCAAATCTGCAAAAGTTGGCTGCTAGTGGCTGACGTCCATCACAATGATCCAGTTCGCTGAAGGAAGGCTTGTGTCACTCTTGTGGCATGGGGGCGTGCGTAAATGTCATGCTGGAATATGACGGCGTTGATGACAGCACAGCAAAGGAACAACTTCAGGCCATAGAATTTGATCCACATAGCGCTGTGCTGTGAAATTGCTCTGAATAACGTGAAGATCGCTCCTGAAACATGCTAGTTTTGCTCCCCAAACCATCACACTGCCACCGCCGAATCAATCTCACTGTCTGGCACATGCATTGGTGTAACGTTCACCATGTCGCCGATAAGCTCGTTCTCCTCCATCGACAAAGGATACACAGTACGTTGACTCATCCGAAAACACAATTCTCCGGAAGAAAAGCAGTGGTTGACATTCATTCATCTGCGCAATTCAGGCGGTCCTGATGGTGTCGGGGCTGCAATATGGGGCGCCAGGCGAGTCTCAGGGGCCATCTGACTGTAATGGGGTGGATTCGTCTCCCATGTCTGCCAATTGTGTTCGCTGCTGTTGCTGTTGCCGTCCTGAAGCGATCTCTGGGGTACGCTAGTTGACTTTGTCGGTCTTGTCTAGCCGTAGTCACCGTAACTTGACCTGGTTGAGGACAGTCTGCTACGCTTCCTGTTTGTTGATGTCTACCGAGAAGATGCCTTATGGTTGATTGGTTGACATAAAAACGGCTGTGTGTGAAGTCCCTGCTTCGAGCAGTCCAAGAGCACGTTCCTGTTCCTATAAACTCAGTTGTAACATTGTTTCGAATCGCTTCTGTCCCATTGATGCCCTTGCCTTAAATGCATGAGACCTCGGGCAGTGCACGTGCATTTTCATTGCATCGTCAACGTAACAACCGGTAAGGTGTGTTTTAGCGATTTTGTCCTCTTCATAAAACATGTCTTTGATAAGCATTTCAAATGTCAAAGACTTCATTCACGTTTGTTATCTTTTTAAAAAAGAATATGCTAAAAATAACTCTTTGCGTTTTCAAGGTGCTTCAGTATATGTAGGAGTCTTGCTGAGGCAAGAGTGTTCAGAAGCATTTATCAAACTATCAGTTCTTCCCTTGTGTTAGATACTAAGTTGTGGATTACTCAGGGCTCGAAATAGTGCTTTGTTAATTGCACTGGTGCAACCCAATATTACAAAGTGCAACCTAGTTATTAGTCTAACTTGCACCGGAGGCAACTCAATTTTTGTGTGGGTAAACTCTAAATGAAACATCTAAATAATTCAGTCGCATATTTCTTACATTACGCATTGCAATAAAAGCAGTGCAACTGGAATTTGTCTGGTGCAACTAGGTTTTTATCTTAGGTTGCACCTGGTGCAAGCAGGTTAACATATCTTTAATTGAGCCCTGATTACTACAAGCCTATACAAGCTCCATTTCCTTTCATGTCGTACTACACCTTGCCATTTCACACCTCTGATTATTGTGCCTCAATCATGTGTAGAACACAATCTGCCTACCCCAACAAATGAACTGGTTTATTAGATGATGAAAATATGTCGCATTTTGTCCCCAGCAGACAAACGAAATGGCAGTTTTTCAAAGTAAAGATACCTATTACTGTCTGAATTCAGTATTACAACATACCCCACAGCATCAAATATTCACCTTCACTTAATTTGGGGAATAATTTCAGTTCAAATTCAACCAACAATGGCTCTGTTCATAGCAGCAACAACATTTCTGAACGAAGGTCCCCTTACACTTCAGATCACAATGGTAGGCTTGAAATAGCCATGCTGCTTGCAGAGTTGTCTTGAAAGCATACTTAAGTTACTTCACTCATCTGATGAGGAACATCTGTAAATGTATAGCGTGTGTTCTGTTTTCCAGTCAATAAGTCCAGGTCTGGTGGAGACAGAGTTCACCTATCGAATGATGAAGGACGATGGAAAAGCTAAGGCGATTTACAGCTCAATTCCGGTTAGTGTCTTGTACAGTATAATTGTGGTCTCAATATTGTTTAGATTACCGGTAATCCAATCTGATGAGGACAGTACATGTGTATATATAAAACAACACTGATTCTACTTGGGTCCTTTCAAAGTGTAACACTGAAGTAAAATTTCCTTGGAAGTCTTTTGGCACATTTGTTGTAATATCAAATATCCTAGAGAAATGGCCATAACACTCATGTGGGACATAACATTCTCATACCTCCAATTACTGGGATATCACAGGGTACCACAGTTAACTCCCAACTAACGATAAAATTGTATCAGTGTTTTTGTTTAAAGTTGCACTGCATTAGCAACTGTTTTCCATATCTTACATTGACATGCCATATGATTATTAAACTTAATATGTGTTATGCTATAAATTTCAACAAGGGATCATACTGATGTAATCATGTAAATGTTTGTGAGATCAGCTGTAGGTGGTTTGCTTTGATATCATCTTTAGGGATGTACCATCATGTGTGTTAAAAACGAAAGTGTTGGTGTGTTGCGGTTTCTCAGGCTTCCAGAGAAAGGCAAGGACTTTGATCTAAAAACACATTGTCTGCTTCACATCCAGTAACTCCTACATTATTTCTTCCAGTGTCTGCAGGTGGACGACATCACGAACACTGTGATATTTTCCTTACAGTCTCCAAAGCACATGGAGGTGAGTCACAAACTCGGATGTTTGGTTGCATGGTTGACATCCATTACTCCATGGCTCAGTATAACAGTGTTCACGAATTGCGTCGGACCCTCTGACAAATCTGGCAGATTAACCAGATTCTGACTGTATATTTCAACAATGACTTTGACTGAAGTTGTTATATGTGACATGTCACACTTGTTTGCTGTTTATAAATCTTATGTTTCTTGATAATTTCAATGCCAATTATAAGAAATATTAAATTGTGAGTTTAATTTTATTCTATGGGTCCTGTGAATTTTCAGTAGGTCAGACAGACATCTGAAACTTACAGGACCCAATGTCCTGTTACTTTGAAACACCATTCGTGATCACTGGTAAAATTTATTGTGGGGGTCAGTGCACAAAAGATTTGAGTAATTTCTTGTTTATGGTGCAGCAGTCAATCACTATCAATACTACTGTTATTGTTTCCTTATAAAACATGTCATAGTCAGTTTGTTATTTTCCTGGACACTATCAGATGCTCTCATTTAGTGAAAGGGCATTGCCATGTTTGCATGAAACCTTTCAGAAATACACAGAACTAAAGCAAGGAATATTATTATTGTCCGTGGTTTGTCACGACATGACCTGCTTGCTTCTGCCTAATATCATTACAGGTCATGACCTTTCATGAATTTTAACTGACCAATGAAATGGCTAAAAAAGAAGTCGACGTCAGCTGATTGGAAAACTGCTTTCTCAAGCTTTAATTTCTTGAGCATTAATTTTAAACAGATGACTTCATTTCCAGAAACATTTTTGATAAAATTCTCAGTTCAAAACTTGAATTGTATTCAGTTTCAAATGTTTATCTAATACAAAAGGGAAGAGATTGACGATGACTTACATGAAATCAGTCATTACAAAGCCTGTTCTTTTCACTACCCTGTCCTTACCTCTTTCAAGGTTGAATAAGAAAACATGTCAGACTTTCACTTCCCCAGGTTTATAACTGATTCTCTGATATGTTGAATATCGTGAGATATCTTGGTTTAGCGACAAGCTAACATGTGATTTAAATGAGCTTGGGTTTTGCCAGAATTGTAAATGTCTGAAAACTTTGGTTTAGTTCTGGTGAGCTGTAGAGCTCATGGTTGTGTAAGTCACCATATGCCTCTTGTCTGAAAGTATTCATATCGAGGTGTGATGTTTTCTTTTCCAGATTAATGATGTCCTAATCCGACCAACAGCCCAGTCCAGTTAGAGGAACTTCAATCAGCAAACTATTTTGATGCTGTGGTTTTGGTGTACAACATGTCAGCATATAATCAGATTAGTCACAGTAGTTTTACAATATCACGCAGACTTGCAAACTAAAAGATGTACATGATGTTTTGGAATGGTGCTAAAACGTGTAATTCTTCTTTGTTGACTTGGACTTGGAATTTCCTGTTGTATATATGTACGCAGTTTAGTACTCAGATACCAAATATTGAGAAAACTTTCGAAGAAAAAGAAAAATTGTTAACATTTGGATCGCTGCGGACTCAGAATTTTATTTTTTGAAGGAATGAAAAAGGTATCTGTCTAGAAACTTGATTAACATTAACAAAGTGACCTTGACATTGTTGAACAAGAGGTGAGTAACAGGCCTTGGTTTGTCACTATTTTTGTTGATTTTATTTCTTACCCTACCGAAAAAACTGATGTTTTATGTTTAGGTACTTGGGTATCCCGGAACAATATTGTATCTACTGGCTGGATTATCCCATTGTTGTAGATTATCCAGTGCTGATTGTTATTGATTTGACTATGGTTATGAATTTATGATTTCCTTGTTATATTTTGTCATTTAACAAATGATTGTGTCTACTATATACCAGATATCATTTTGAAAGATTGAAGGAATAAACAAATGGATCAAATCTTAAATGTCGTGTTAAGTTGTAACTCATGCTCCCCTCTAATGGCAATAAAATCATCTTATTAATACTTGAGTTTTTTGAGAGGTATATAGAAGTTGGTACTCAAGTATAAGACAAAATGTTATGGATGTCAATTTCTTTTTTATTGTATACACAACAGTTCTGACGAAGGGGCAAGGAACAGCCCAGGGCCCTGTTCCTCAAAGCGATCGTAGCTCTAAGGTGATCCCATGAATGCCGAAATGCCATACTTTAACATACTTTAACATAGACTTACGACTGTCGTAGCGTTACGATCCGTTGAGGAACGGGGCCCAGAATTTGTGAAAATTAAAAAAAAGTGGAGATCCATATTTTCTCTTATATCTTAGTGCTTGGTAGCAAGTTCAGACTAATGATTTGGTGTTTGTTTGTTTGTTTATTTATTGGTTAACGCTGTACTCGGCAATATTCCAGCTATATGACAGCAATCTGCAAATTATTAAGTCTTAGATCTTTGAATGGCATTTACAAACAAGACACATAAGGAAGAGAGTTTTATGGATGTCAACTTCTTTATTATGAGGAACACAATGTTGTTCAGGTGATGCAGGTGTAAGGATATACTCTTAAACATTTTGCTTCTCATAATAAAGAGCTTTTAGGGTTATAATGATATTCATCAACCAAGTCAGGAAGTCCATCCAATTAGTGGCTTCTGATGACAAGCAAGTGTTACTGAAGGGGGTCTTCTGGGACCCTAAAACAAAAGGTGCTGGGTAAGTGAGAATGACCCCGCTGCAGACCAATTCTAACCTGGCTCTTCAGGGTCCACTGATTGTGTGAGTGAGTGGGATGGGGGTGATCCTACTGTTGATCCATATATTGTACATCTATCCTCACTCAATGGTTGAAGCTGGTTTATTGCCATCCTGCTCTAAAAAAAACAGAGCTTGAAGGATTTGTACCAACATTCATAGTCTTTATTAAGGAAGGACATAGACGGTTCAACAACTAGCCAAACTGGTCTGTGTTAAGGAGGTAAATTGATTGTATTAAAACCATTTTTGAGATGAGATGGATTCAGACCAGATTTAATCTGTATGCATGTTATTTCATGGACAGTCACACTTGGCAATTTCACTGTGGTCAAAGGTTGCATGACTGCTGACTGTCTTAATCTGGCCTGATACCAGAGTGACCGTATGCATTGACTGATATTTGAATGTAGAGGCATGATATGTAAAGACTAGTCAAATCAGAGGTCACAGACAGGCTGTGAGTAGGTCAAAGCTAGGTCACACACATAACTGGCCTCGACTCGCTTTCATTGGGTTACAACTGGGTTATTAGAGACCAAGACATATCCATGTACAGTGTGGGCCTCTCGTCCTGAACTACACACTGACATTATATAGAGAAAGTATTTATGGGACTGTAATAATGTCACTTTTATTAGACTGGGACATTGTCGGGCTGTCTGAGGACCCAGATATTTAGGGAAAATGATTAATATGTCTACTCAACTCAAGTATGATTTGGCAAGTCAAGATTGCCTCAGTTCCAGAAGTTAAGGATTGTTTCTGGCTTGTAGATCAATATTTTTATTTTCATTAATAGGATAGAATTTAATTCATATGGTTGTTGGTAACAGCGAATCCATGGTTGGTTGTGATAACATATGCATGGTTATTGATGGTAACACATCCATGGTTGTTTGTGATAACATATGCACGGTTATTGATGGTAACACATCCATGGTTGTTTGTGATAACATATGCATGGTTATTGATGGTAACACATCCATTGTTGTTTGTGATAACATATGCATGGTTATTGATGGTAACACGTGTACATCCATGGTTTGTTGTGATAACATATGCATGGTTATTGATGGTAACATGTGTACATCCATGGTTGTTTGTGATAACATATGCATGGTTATTGATGGTAACATGTGTACATTCATGGTTGTTTGTGATAACATATGCATGGTTATTGATGGTAACACGTGAACATCCATGGTTGTTTGTGATAACATATACATGGTTATTGATGGTAACATGTGTACATCCATGGTTGTTTGTGATAACATATGCATGGTTATTGATGGTAACACGTGTACATCCATGGTTGTTTGTGATAACATATGCATGGTTATTGATGGTAACATGTGTACATCCATGGTTGTTTGTGATAACATATGCATGGTTATTGATGGTAACATGTGTACATTCATGGTTGTTTGTGATAACATATGCATGGTTATTGATGGTAACACGTGTACATCCATGGTTGTTTGTGATAACATATACATGGTTATTGATGGTAACGTGTACATCCATGGTTGTTTGTGATAACATATACATGGTTATTGATGGTAACGTGTACATCCATGGTTGTTTGTGATAACATATGCATGGTTATTGATGGTAACGTGTGAACGTCCATGGTTGTTTGTGATAACATATGCATCATTGTTCCTTGTTCTGTGTGTGGGCTTGACTAGACAGTTATTTACACTGTGGCCTTCGGTTACTGGAATTATGATAACTGGATGTGTTGTGAACACTCAATCTCTCCTAACATGAAGTTGATCAGATGAGGTTGGTTGGTTTGTTGTTTAACGCCATCCTCAGCAATATTCTAGTTAAATGACAGAGGTCTGTAAATAATCAAGTCTGGACCAGACAATCCAGTGATCAACAGCTTGAGCATTGATCTACGCAATTGGGATACGATGACATGTGTCAACCAAGTCAGCGAGTCTGGCCATCCGATCCTGTTAGTTGCCTCTTACGACAAGCATGGGTTGCTGAAGACCAATTCTAACCCTGATCTTCACGGGTCGCCTCTTACAACAAGCATGGGCTGCTGAAGACCAATTCTAACCTGGATCTTCACGGCTCTGATCAGATGAGCAGCCCGAGGAGGAGAAATATGCTCCCAACCAGTGCACCTTTGAGCAAAAGAAAGGACTTCATTTAGTGTTGCATTTTTCATTCTGAATGTACAAACACAAGCACATATTTTGATTGATTTCTCCTGAATATTGCACCAGTAAATAAAATATTAAGGATGCAAAAGTTTCAGTTAAATCACAAAAAGGTATTATTATTTTAAACTGATCTTAAATGTCAAAATGGTCATGAAGCTGAAACAATAAATTACTTTAAACATTGAGAGTATTGTTGACAAATAAATAAAATCTCACTTTATACCCAACATATCAAGACTCATTACAGTAAATCTCAGCAATCTACTATATACTTTGCTACTTTAATCAACTTGAGCTGGTATATTTCCTGTCAAAAGACTCTTGTACACAGTACTCCACTTCCTACATAAACACATACATTTTGAACTACAAAACAAAATGTTCATTAAGTTAACTCTGATTTGCTTATCAATCTAATAAATGATGCAATATAAATTGTTGTTTGAAGTTATTTTTCATCATTTCCTAGATAAATATATGAACTGCATGACTCTCTAATTTGTACACATGGTTCTCAAAACTGTTGCCACATCTGACATGTTCATTTTAGTGGCGTAAATATTTTCAAACCTATATTGATTTCAGTTTACAAATGGCCATTCTTTCAGTGTTACATAATCTTGTCAACTGATTTTTTAATTGGTATTCTTTTGTTTTTTACTCCTTATTCACCACGCAGTTACAAGCTTGTGTGTACATACATACATAGATATACATAAACATGTATGTACATACTTATACACACATTTGGTCTATTATGTTTATTGCACAAAGAAACACAAGTGTATTTCAATCTATATCAAAAAGTTTTTTCTCTCAGGAACCTGACATACTCTAATACATGTATTTGGTCAGCAGCAAACCTTTTTTGTTGTTACAGTTGTTTAACAGCTCTGCAAGATTTTACCATGGCTAAAAGTGGTAACTATTGTATTATATAGAACAAACTTTAGAAACGTCGCAATCACCAAATAAAGAAGTTGTTATCATTAAAGTTTGTTCTATGTTGTACACCCCAACTTCTAAAATGCCACTCAAACAAGTTAACTTTTGTACTATTTTTTAGTGATACGGATTTGAAGCAGTCATTCTTACATACATATATCGCAATCGACGAAAAGGTGTAAAGGTTTAAAATGGGAAATTTTTTTTAGCTGATTGCATATGTATTAGGGTACGAACATACAAATGTACTGACATTTCGGTTCTCTTCTATTCAAATGCGAGTGTTGATATCCAAAAGTTATCTCCCTTTAAGGATAAGAAATAGTGCTGTAGGTTGTGTGAGTCGCATGTAAATTTTGAACCACGGGAATTAATGATTTCAGGGGATATGATATATCCATTGTAGTTCACGGCTTTTAAATACAATTGAGACTTGTGTTCGAAAACTGACGAAAGAATATGGTACTCGCGGAAGAATTTGTGACGTCAGACTCGCCGGATCTACATTCATCCTCTTCACGTGGTCGCGCCATACTGGTGAGCACATGTTAAGTTGAGCTCTCGGAACTTATTGTTCAGAATGGTCTAGATTAATGTGTATCAAGTTTGAAACACGTCTTGGTGGTTGCACATCGGTTATTGATAATACTTACCGGAGTGTGGACGCTGTATTAAAGGAATAATTTCAGTAATTGTCTTTGAAGTCGGAGGCTTACTTGCAGACAAGTTTCCCGTGTGAAATAAGTGGCCTGCAAGTTACGGGGGGAAGCGCACATGTCTAGCTGCAATGTTTTAATTTTAATTAACTTCTGTTCGTGAGCTATGTAGAATAAAGAGCGATTGGGAATCTTGTTGCCACCCCTCACTGAAAGCAGATACATTTCGAAAAATTTCGACACATTTTTCCTATCGCTCTGGATAACATGGCATATTCTGGTATGGTAGATTATTTTTAAAATATCTGCTGAACTTGCGACACCAGTGTTTTTAACAGCTATATGCATATAGGAAAGGTTTCCGCCCGTAGCGCCCGTTTTGTTTTTATCATTCTATGCCTAAGAATAGATTTTATTTTAGAAAAAAACAAACCCCAAAAAACTAACCCTAATCCTAACACACCCTTAACCTTTGAAATAATCCTAATCAACAGAATACATTTTCAGGCGGAACTCTACCAGCATATGTACTGTACGTATGTGCAATAAAGTGAAATTTTCATTTATTTTCAGGCCTAAAGACCAGACAAAATGCCGCGAATTCCTTTGGTTCAGAGTAAGACGTACACCACACCCAGACGTCCTTTTGAAAAGGAACGTCTTGACCAGGAGTTAAAACTCATTGGAGAATATGGTCTGAGAAACAAGAGGGAAGTGTGGCGTGTGTCAAATACACTTTGGCCAGAATCCGAAAGTCAGCTCGAGAGCTGCTCACCCTTGATGAGAAGGAACCCAGACGACTTTTTGAGGGTATAAAACTTTGTCTTTGAGCAGCTGATATGTTTCTTTAATTTAGTTGAAATCTAAATATAGATTTTAAAATCCTTAGATGGGTCTGATAAATCTGCTTAGTCCATGATCAGAATTCCGATATTTAAAGTTTGACGATATCGTACAGAGATTACATATTAAATTCATTTCTATTATCAAAGCAAACAACATAGTTCCCATCACTATCCACTTTGTACAGTTGTGCTATATTATCAGGTAATGCTCTCCTACGTCGGCTGGTGCGTATTGGTGTGTTGGATGAGGGCAAGATGAAGCTCGATTATGTCCTGGGTTTGAGGCTTGAGGACTTCTTGGAGAGGCGTCTTCAGACTCAGGTCTTTAAGTTGGGCCTTGCCAAAAGTATCCATCATGCACGTGTCCTCATCAGGCAGAGACATATCAGGTATGTGGCAAATTGTTGAAATATATTTGTCATTTTGTGCTGTCTTCATTGGACATCAGTATGATCACCTACATGGCTCACTCACATTCATTGTCATAACAGCTGTAGCAGTGACTTCAGATAAAGACTTCCCAAAATGCAGATAGTGTCATGTACAGTACAGTTTCAATTTGTGATTTGTGTGTTTTGATTTATGCTTTTAATTGAATTTCCAGGTGATTAATAGGCCACTGGGGTTCCGTCCCTATGTCTATTGAAGTTATTAACCCAAAGGGATGAAGGATCATTCATTACATAGGAGGCCACTGGGTTATAAAACCCATGTCTCCTGTTAGCCGCAGTAACTGAGAGGACTAATGACTGGCCACTGGGGTTAACCCCATGTCTGTCGAAGTACCCTGATGACGTTACACTGGCACATCGAGGTGAAATGCTCCCAAAACCCCTAGATTCTCCTGATTTCCTGAAATTTACATAGTCAAGATAAGTCATAAAGAAAGTAGTTTGCTATTGTGAAGTTGTTCATTAATGACTTGCACTGATTTATTATTAAAATCTGCATCAATTCTATAAAACAAATGGCTATGCAGGAGAAAGATCTTGGAAGTTGTTGGAAAACTAGAGTGTTTGCACATTAGTCTGTGTAAAATTTGATTATTGAAATACATGTTAAGCTTTATCTTGCAGAGTACGCAAACAGGTGGTGAACATCCCATCATATGTGGTACGTCTGGACTCTCAGAAACACATTGACTTCTCCCTCAGATCACCATATGGTGGCGGCAGACCTGGTGAGTTGACCAAAGGAGACCACTTTCTATCTGTTAAAACTGTTGTAAATTCTGCGTTTGTATTATGGGGTCAATAACGTTGCTGTAATCAATGGGTGTAAGTGTTTCAATTGAGACTGTAATTCTGTTAAAAGGATGAAGGTGGATTGGCTTTACTGCTTTCACCATAATAATATGCCAGAAACATTGTAGCTTGTAAAATTGGAAATGTTAAAATGTGAATTGAGTGAAAAAACATTTTATTTAGAGTATGGTTATAGGAAAACTGTATCCATGTCCGACACATAATAAGATTATTTGTTTACAGGCCGTGTCAAGAGGAAGAACGCCAAGAAGGGAAGTGGTGGTGCAGCTGTCGATGATGACGAGGATTAAGAAGCAACACACTTGTTCTGCTGTAATTTCTGGTGGAATAAAAAAGTCAAGGGAATCCTGTGTTTTGTTAAGATTTGAAGGTTGAAATGCATATGCTTTGTACTTGCAGGTGAATGGTACAAACGTAGAGTGCAATTAGCAGGTAAATATTTGAAGACATTACCATGTTTTGTCTGCATTTGCATTACCTGTAAGGGATGAACAGATTTCATTATTTTGGAGAGGAACTGAGTTTGGTTGGTCTATTCCATATCATTTGCCACGGTTGGAAGTGTGGACCTTTCCAATATTGACTTCATAAATGCAAAGTCAGGTGCTCATACATCGACCTGTAGTCCGAATCCTATTAAATACTTACGCTAGAAAGAACCAGGTATGTTCCAGCTTGTTCTGGATTAACACAGGTATGTGCTCATGCTGTCAACCATTGGCATGCCTGACATTCATTTTCACCAGTAGCTCATGTAAAGCGTGCACGAAGATGACACTTGTAATATTCACTCGTCGTTGAACCATTTCGATTTCACAGCTTCATTGAGAATCCAATGTGAGTTAAAAGTATTACTTGGCTTCTAATTAGGATTCTCCCGATTTTGAGGTGATGGTCGTTCAAGGATCTGCAATTCATGAGCGGCTGTCAGATCTTCGTTCGGTTACGAGATTCACTCAAGGGTGCAGCTTGAAAACCTCGCGGAACAATCAGTTTCGTTTATTAAAAAGTTTTGAAAGTCATGACCTCATTCAGAGTATAAGCAACACCATTGTCGCAGTATTTGTGCACACCGCTTCAGTAGTTTAATGGATAAATCATCTGCCCAGAGAGTCAGATCCGTTGCGCAATCGCTTGCTCGAAGACAGTACATGGCAACCTTTTCCATCTCAGTAAAAGAGGAACTGGTGGGCACAACGTTGGTAAAGTAAGTGCAGGGGTGATGCTAAGATCAAAATTGAACAATATATTTAAGTTGCGGAAGTGAGATCAGACACTTCGTATTTACTTATTATAAGAAGCGGACGTAATATCCTGACATTCTAGTCAATGGGTGCCTGCCAACTTATAACTGTCTGGCATTTGCGTTTGACTTTATCTGATCATGATATCCTTATTGGAGAGATGTTATATCTGCGTGGATGATATACAATATGAACATTGCTTTTGAGGCAAAATGATATAGACCAAAATGATCATATATTATAACAAAATCTGGTTTATTCACGGTATACATAGTATGAAAGATATGTGATGAAAAAGACTAAGTTTTCAAAATTTAAAACATACAAAGTACAGGGAACTTTTTTAGACTGTTAACGCTTGTTAAACAATATTAAATAAACCTGGAGATGTCATAAGAAACAACACTTACATTTGATCAGCCACATATTAGAAATATATATAATATATTATCAGTAATGATACGGGCTTAATGAAATTCTATGATGAACTAGTTAAGAGTGATACTACAAGTCATTAGCATATTGGAACACCGTCTTTCAGCATGAGCTTGAATGGAAATATGTATTTAGCGTCAGAGAGTTTTCTACCCACATTCAGAGAGCGCAGTACGTCAGAGTCTTGTCTACACTCGACACACATTCGAAGAGCGCAGTATTTCAGAGAGCTTTTAACCCACATTCGTTGAGCGCAGTACGTCAGAGTCTTGTCTACCCACATTCAGAGAGCGCAGTACGTCAGAGTCTTGTCTACCCACATTCAGAGAGCGCAGTACGTCAGAGTCTTGTCTACCCACATTCGTAGAGCGCAGTACGTCAGAGTCTTGTCTACCCACATTCAGAGAGCGCAGTACGTCAGAGAGCTTTTAACCCACATTCAGACAGTGCATCACAGCAGAAGTTAATGCGTGCAGAACACTACAGTTCTGCTCTTCTCAGCACACAGCTCCTTAACTCGGTGCAGCGGTCTTTCAGAGACCATGCCATTGAGAATGTGCTGATATGATATGGCAATTCGCTTGGTTGACGCTCATTTCTGTACAGTACAGAATCGTCAACGAAACTCACATTGAGGTTGTGTCCAACATCATTGGCACGGTTACGAACACTGTGGGATGCCTTGTTCTCAGTAGTAGTTGTAGTCGCACAGCTTGATCACCAGACAAGTAAATATGCACAAAGAACTTAGTTAAGTATCCCCTGACATATCCCACAATTGAAAGAGCCCAGATCTTAACCCTTAGGAAACTATCTGGGACGTGATTGGTCGTCGTGTGCAACAAAGGGATCCTCCTGTACAGAACCAATTGGAAGCAGCTATACACGAGGAATGGCGAAGACTGCCCCTACAGAGGATCAGGAGGCTGACGGGTTATGAGGAAGAGAGTGCTGGCTGTCATACAGTCACATGGAGGTTACACTCGGTATTGTCCTTGAATCGTGTAAGACACGCAAAATGACATTTTGAATGTTCACATTCACCAATAAAATCAAATTGAACATTCCAGGGCCATACTTGCAAGGACATGGTTTTGTATGAAAATCAGTGGTTTTTATTTTGGTAAAATGAGCAATTATCATCATAACATCAACATGGATTCCAAACATTTTGACGAGTCAAAGGATCATACGGGTTAGAAAAACTCTGTTTTTCCATCGTGGTCAGTGGCGGATCCGGGTTGGGGGTGGGGGTGGTTTCGACAAAAGTGCACTGTTAAGCCCTACTGTAATCATAGCCACGCCCTCGAGCGAGGGTGTTACCAATATTGTCAGATATGATTCTTTGTTTGAGGGGTCTCTACACTCTGATTCGCACCAGCTTAATCGTCGGCAGTAGTAGACAAATTCAAAGTGCATTTTAAACATGACTGCTGCTTATTTGATTGCATGCTTGTTTACACACGAGAGTGAAGTCCTAGATATCGAATGTGAAATGGTTTTCCTGGTCGTCTTGATTACCGCCATTGTGCAGCAAAACACAGGATGCATCAATCCTTTACATGATATGGATTGGTTTGTCCTGAGAATGTACTGTTGTCACTATTGTCTCGTCGAGCATATTGCGGAATACCGACGACATCATCAGATCACCCTAGCTGTAAAATAGGACTCAAGTAGCAGAATCTACGGGTCGTTATTGTGCTTGAACCAGGTCTAAAAACACCAACACAGCCGTCGGCCAAACTCATTATTCATTTTGACTATTATTCATTTGACACAATTCAGGGAACTGTCAGCTGTTGCTAATAACTGTGTGTATGTGCTGTCGATGTTTGTATACCTACCTTACCAAGGTGACTTGGTGCCTATTATTGAACTAGGTTATATATAACCATTGACTTGTATGCGAGAAAAATAGTTACCTTAAAGGAAACCAAACATAACGTCTAATGCATTCGTGACCAACTCGTGTTATTCCGGGACAAGCCAAATACAGGTTACGGAAAGGGGCGAGTGGTGACGAATGCGTCTAATGGTGTAGTATTTCACGATGAGATAGTTGCAAATTTAAAACTATACAACTGTCTAGTAAGGTTTTACTATACTATCAACCACTTGTCTGACCAAGCCGCTGACATTTACAGGCAATATCGCCGACTCTGGCATGATGAGATACAGAATGAATCTTTACGCAGATTTAAGGGGTTACACCTCGTGTCCTCTAATATTTATAATCCGGGTTAGAATTGATCTTCATAAACCCATGCTTATCGTAAGAGGCGACTAACGGGATCGGGTGGTCAGACTCGCTGACTTGGTTGACACATGCCATCGTATCCCAATTGCGTAGATCGATGCACATGCTGTTGATCACTGGATTGTCTGGTCCAGATCCGATTATTTAGTGAGTTTAGTTTTACGCCGCACTCAGCAATATTCCAGCAATATGGCGGCGACAATCCAGTGATCAGCAGCATGAACATCGATCTACACAATTGGGATACGATGACACGTGTCAACCAAGTCAGTGAGCCTGACCACCCGATGCCGTTTGTCGCCTCTTACCAAAAGCATGGGTTACTGAAGATCAATTCTAAACCGGTTCTTCACGGGTCAGCAGTGTATGAACATGAAATCACAAGTACGTTTGCCAAGCAACTATTATATTTTATGTACATCCTCAGTAGCATTGGCCACTTTCCCTCAAACTTTGCGTTACAACTGTTCTTTCTTGTTTTTAAGACTGGAGTGTGTACTATTCTCTGGCTCGACTTCACAAAGAGCACATCTTGTATGTAGGGGCGGTTGGGTGCCAAGTGATTAAAATGTTCGCTCGTCACGCCGTACTCGTCTCTCTATTTTATTTGGTTTCCCTTTCAAAAGGGTGAAGAAGGACGTAGAAGATATGTACTAAGGTTGACAGTGCGAAAGTTTTTATTACAGTTATTAGAACTATCAGAATGAGAATTCTTTTTCTCTAATTTCCCAAGATATTGATGATGGTTTCAATCAAACCGAAACATGAGTCTCATTAACCAATTCAGACCATGACCTACTTTTCAGCCGATCCGAATTTTCTCGTGTGAAAGTGAAAAGAGACACTACAAACAACTATAGTTACACTAAATTCCAATTCACGTTTACATAAGAAAATGGTATTTACAAATTAATTCTAATTTTAAAATTTTATAAAATCGTACTTCTATATTTTATGTGAAGGTTTAGGCAGCATGTCGTTAACTAAGGCGTCACAAACTGCTCCTGCTTGAAGAGGTCGTACAATGATTCACAATTCGTTTGGCTGACTGGTTACACCTGTTTTGTGTTTTTGTGCGCATATTAGGTGTATTTTCGTAACGTACAACGTGATTGATATAATATTAAGTCCGTACCAGACCGCCAAACATTTCTAGCGGCCGTACCTCGTTGTGAGATTTCCACGATTTCCATTTGTCAGAGGACGATGTACGACAGAGCATGCTGCTCGACCGACGTGTTTGCAAGGATTAGAAGGAATATACAAGTGATTAGATATATCAAATAATGATGATTAATATTTATATATCCAGTTGAATGAGTTGTTCTCAATTCTGGACTGGTTATTGTACTAAGTTGCGCAATTGGACGGAAGCCAGTCAGCAGGAAACGAGACTGTTGTGTAATCAATGTTTTGACTTGCTTTTCCTTGTGTTGATAAACTTCAAAGTATCTTATTGTTCATTACGAACATCAAAACTTCTTTTTGAGTTCAGAAAGTTCCGTTAACAGCTTATCATCGATATTTTGTAGAATACTACATAATGACCCTTCTAAGTCGATTATATATATTTTTATAAGTTTAACACTCCTACTACTTTATCTTTTTAAAGTTAGAACTATAAGATATCGATTTACCTCTAAGTTTCATCAACAGGGTATCCAAGAACAGACAGTTACTAATATTCAACTTCAGCATCACTTCAACAGTACTCAATATATTTACATATGTGTGGGACAAGAGAATACTACACGGGGTCTCATTACATACGGATTATACCAAACGAGTGTCCTTCATGTGGTATGTGACCGAGCGAAAGCGTTTCGTATTCTTTCTATTTAGACTGAGTGTGGTATTTTAATTATTACTCATTGTATTTCTTACCTGCATACAATATTGACAAAATATTGTTATTTGAAAGGATGATAAAATTGTTCCGCAACCTCTAGCTCTTCATGAAACCGGTTTCGGTTTGATAGCATAACCATGTTATAAAACTTACTTTAAGTTTTCAAGTCTAGCTGGAAAATTACTGAGTGCGGCGTAAACTCACTCACTCACCCTCATCGTTAAGATTGGGGAGGAAGTGGTGGTGCGTGCGGAAGCCTTATTCAATAATCGGTGCCCAGTCTTTGGTGGAACAACATGATGGTTGAGGTGATGTGGCATGAGTTGATAGTTCGGTATTAATCTATAATGAGTAATGTTTGTGTTTGCTGCTATCAAAATTTTAGAGCGTTTCCACATGTTTTGTCTTCCTTATTAAGTAAAACAGATAAGAACTATATTCAGCTGCGCATATTCAGGAATATCAAAAGAAGTGCAAAGTTTAGTCCTCAATAAAATTCTTTTTATGAAACCGTTTTCGGTTTGAACGCTAGTTTTGTCAATTTTATGCAGGTAATACGTGGGTAATGAATAAATTACCACAGTCGGTCTCACTACGAATTATAATGCTTGAAATCATGCTGTAATTCGTTCTGTCTCTGTCTGGGGTGTAGAAATGTCAGTACAATACTGGATGTCCCGTGATTATATATTATTTGTGCACGTGTGTGTGATTATTTGTTACAGTGTCCAGACATACTTTGTATTGCTATAGTTTGATGTTGGTTCGCTGTTGGTTGTTATAAAAAACAGAATGATTTATCAAGTCGTAGTTTACGCTTTCCGCGTCACCTGCTGTCTTCTCAGGTGTGGATTTCAGGAAAACATCAGAGGTTGTCCCCAGTTCAGGATATTGCTTGTTGAACGAGTTGTATGTGTTCACCAGCTAGAGCGTTGTTACATAACTCTTTACGACAGAGTGGAGTCGAGGGGATATATCACACGGGGTTCCACTGTTTCAAGCGGCTGATGATGTCAGTGTTCTTGAGCCGCACGAGACAACGTCAACTCTCAGCTGCTGGCTACTGACCACCCCCATTGTCCCAAGGCTTGTTGCCCTGATTGGTCCAACTGCCAAGTATAAAACAAAGATGCCTCGCCAGCTTCGTCGCGTTTATCGTTCACTTGTGTCCATATCGCATCATATCCTCACGCTTATATTATTACTTTCATTCAGATTCTCCCTCTCTGCCAGCATGAACAGGTTTCTTCAAGGTTTGGGCCTGTTGTCAGGCGTCCCTCCAGCTCCACAGGCCGGACCGCAAGTCCCCCAAGCAGGACCTTCGAGCCAGGTGACAAAAGGTACCCCTGTCGCCAACCAGAGACCTTCGTCAACCACCTCGACTCCATATTCTACCCCGATGACGTCCACACCGTACTGTACGCCAGGACAGGGGACTGGGGCAACTGGCGGATTGGCAGCTCAGTTGGATGTGAGTAAACATCATACTTTTGCACAGTCTTTGTACCGATACTACTTTATACCACTAAATCTACTACTAAATCTACTCTATCACGTACAACTTGGCATGCCTGCTGATTGTATCCATATGCCTTTTGTCTGTGTTGTTGTCGGTTGAATTGTACAACCTAACATTATGTTTGCAAGCCTAGACTTTCCAGAGAGGATTTACGTTGTTATAACTATTTCTAAGATGTGAAAAGAAATCAAGCAGCCATAACAATGTATCGCCTACGGCAGTTTAATCCAATACGTAATTGACGTTATATTACTGACATTATACTACAAAATTAGTGAGGGCGGTATTAATCCAAACTCACTCACTACTGAAGCGGTTGCAAAGTATGACGACATTAATACATTATGCCATTATAGTAAAGTGGTTCGTCCATCAGGAAATCAGTAAGGCGGTACACAAAAGTGTATCAAGTACTATGATGTTATTGACATGCATGTATCTGACCTGTCTGACATGTCTTTCGTCACAGGCTAACGATGCAGCCGAGCTAAGAAGACTCCGTGAGGAAAACAGAAGGCTCAAAGATGAAATCAGGCGTCTAAAGGGAATGGTAAGTCAAATGATTTTACTGAGTACAATGTATAGACGTGACACGGCGTTTAACAGTATTTACGTTACGTGATCTTCTTGCCCGAAGCGTTGAACATGTCGATAATCAAACCCAGGCCTTCAAAGTGATAAGCGATGAGCTCCTCACACAACCCCTTGATCGTAGGACTTGTATATATTGTTGTATTAACCTACTGTCAGTGGTGGACTATGTAAATTGACAGAACGTGAACCTTGTAATTTGGGAATACCTTCGGAATATACATCAATTTTAAGTACAGCTCCACGGATACATTACACAGGAACCTGTTATCACTATGTAGGTTAAACATAGACCATAGATCTACACGCACTTCATATATAAATAGAGTATATATATGACGTGCGTGTAGATCTATGAACTATGTTTTACCTACATAGCGATAACGGGTTCCTGTGAAACCTTATGAACACTATTATCCTTACCAATGATACACTGTTGCATTTGAATAATTAGTATACAAGTGCCGCTACTGAAAAGAAGACAAGTAATCGCCGGTAGTTTGTCAAAACATTTACTAACACTTCAGTATTTGGATACAGGCATTGCAAGGTGAGGCATGACAAGGCACGCTGCCAACAACACGGACAGCACGTGGTTACATCAAAAAGTACAACAAAAAACACACAGAAATCGGGTGCTACAATTCGGGTGCATGTAATTGTTGAACTGGCACCGAAATGACAGGCGGATAAGCGAAATTACACCCATGGAATGTACTCAGTGGCGATGTGTTCTGCAGTGTGACAGTTGTAGCCTGTCTTGTATCATACCCTAACAGTTATAATATAGTTGAAAATATGGTAAACCTACATGTTCCTGATCCAAACTCATATCAATTTGTTTCTCTCTCCTATTGCTCGAAACGTAGTGGAAACGTCTGTGTTCATGCTCCCAAGAACATTGAAAATATGGTAAACATATATCTGGTTCATATAAGTTGTAATATCATCGAAAATAAAACAACTTTAGTACCAGTCCTTAACAGTAGCAGTGCCATTGATTATATGTACAGTGATGGTTGTGTAATATCATTGAAAGTGCAAATCTAGTATTATTTATAATGGTTGTAAAGCTCATTGAAAATACAACATCTGGTATTAACTCACTCACTCATATTGTATCATAGGATTGAATGGGGGTGCATAAATGCGCTCTATATTGGCACGTACGTCAGTCACTCAACACATTTACGTTTGTTTTGTTTGTGCAGCGGGACACAACACCAACGGCAGCTCCGGCAGCAGCTCCATTGGCAGCATCGACAGCAGCTCATTCGGCAGCAGCTCCGACAGCAGGTCCATCAGCAGCTCCTACAGTAGCCTTAGCAGCAGCTCCTACAGTAGCCTCAGCAGCAGCTCCTACAGTAGCCTCAGCAGCAGCTCCTACAGTAGCCTCAGCAGCAGCTCCTACAGTAGCCTCAGCAGCAGCTCAATCGACAACTCCTTCAGCAGCTCCATCGGCAGCAGCTCTACCAGCAGCTCCATTAGCACCACCACCAGCAGCTCCATTAGCACCACCAGCAGCAGCTCCATTGGCCACAGCAACAACCTCAGCAGCACCGGTGACCATGAATGTGGCGACACAAACCCTTACAGCAGTGAGTATGCTATTGGAGCTCATCACTGGGAGTTTGGTTTTCACTCACATTGAGAGGCATGCATCCTCGATAGCTGGATTAGTCTTTGACTTCGCCTGACACGGCTTTGTCGTCTCTGTCCCTCCATCCATACTTCCATCCGTCCATTATTATTCCGAGTTCTACTTCTGTGTCAGAGTAGGTTCCCAGTAGCAAATTGTTTTCCACACTGTCAAATATATCTGAAGCATATTAGCAGCTGTTTACGATTTATGTGGGTATTTTCGCTCCGAAGTATTTGATGACTATGTTCTAACTGATCAAGGCGACCTCCGGAGCGTGTACTGCATTTGATATTCTAATGAAACCACTCTACATTGCTTTTTTCTTCTCAAAGAATTCTGAACCCGTTTCACATTGGTACATTGATGCAGTTCTACATTATTGCATTTCATAACTTTAACAACCTGTTAACGAGTCCTTTTCATGCTCTTTGTTTTATTCAGGCTCGGGCAGCAGATGAAGCGAGGCAGAGGCGTGATGCTAGATACAGGCAAAGAGCAGTAAGAAAGCAACAACATCAAAGGCATCAGCAGCAGCAACAGCAACGACGATTCCAACTACAGCAACAGCGCCGTCAGCAGCAACAGCCCCGACAGCAGCGGCTGCCCCGTCTACAGCTGCAGCAGCAGCACCAACAGCCACATCCCCGACAGCAGCAGCACCATCCCCGTCTACATGTGCAGCAGCAACAGCACCGTCTACAGCGGCAGCAGCACCGACAGCAACAGCCCCGTCAGCAGCAGCAGCAGCTCCGACGGCAGCAGCACCGACAGCAGCAGCACAACCACCACCGACAGCAGCAAGAAACACCATACGAGGAGCTGCTACGTCATTTCGATGAGGAGAAGAGGACTTCGGTGAGATATCGTACCTGACTTTTGAGAATGATGATTGCGGGGTTTTTAACATTCCCAAACAGCCAATGTTGATTGTAAGAGCCCAGACGGCCATTTTGTTAGAGTACCTCGAGGGTACAGGTCGCTGCTCATCCTATCAATCTCAGAATTCCCCCAAAAGGACCTTGTTGACTTCAGTTAAGGGACAAAATGTTCTTTGTGTTAAACGCAGATCAACAAATACAAGGCATTCGTTTATCCTCAGTCTGACACCCCCGATGAAACTACCATATGTTAAGTAGATCCAACGGGTAAAAGTTACCGTGCCCCATGGACTGGAAATAATGACTAAGTATTGTTTGTTTCCTTGTAGACAAGGGCCGAATACGGAAGCCAGCCGGCGTCATCCAGGTTGCATTGGGAGGAGGAGTGACCAGTAAGTTGAACGCCATGTGTCTCTAAACTTTATCGCATTGGCATTGAGTATATACCATATGAAGTAACACCTATGATGGTGACTATGATGTTTTCATCTTTGTCTTTCCATATGTGAATGAAACCTTTCTTTCTTCAGATGTCATTACCGCACAACAACGGGTATTCATTAGACAAAGACGAGGATAGATGTCTCGGTCATCAGGTTCGCCTATGTCACCATCCTCAGTTGTCATCCTTAGCTGTCATCGACACCCAGCCCCCGAAGTTGGCATTCTTAGTCGATAATCCCAGTGATCAACCTTAATGCTGCCATTAGACTCTCCATGACCGTCCAACTACAACGCCATCCTTCTGCTATCTCTCCAGGTATACAGTTGTGATAATCAAACCACTTAAAACATCATTTAAATCATTTCCTGAGTGCTGATGATTTCACAATTTACCATGCCCCCTGTCTTGAACTATTTTTTTCTTCGCGTTCGAAAAATCCTCTAGCCGTCCAATATCAAAACTATGTATTTGGGAACATACAAGTTAATTCATCATCTTTAACAAAGACTTTTCGGTGATTCTGAGCCTAGCGAACATTATCTATTTCACCTCAGGTGTGCTCAGTCAAGACTTCCTTCATTATCAAAACATAAGTTATATCATTGAGAATAGGACGTATATAGTATTGGTCCACAACAGCTGTAATGTCATTGATTATGTGTATAGTAATGGTTGTGTAAACATCATTGAAAGTGCAAATCTAGTATAATTTACTGACGATTGTAAAGATCATTGAAACTACAACACGTCTGGTAGTGATTCGTCATATTGTTTCATAGTGTTGAATCGAGCGTGTGCGAATGTTCACTATATTGAAACGTACGTAAATCACTTTATTTTCTTTTTCCAGCCTGAAACAACACCGACCACAGCTGTAACAGCTTAAACGACAACTCTTATAGCAGCACCATGACAACCGTAACGGGTATGGTCACAGCTACGACCTCAGCAGCACCGGTGAATATGGATGTGGTGACTCAACCTCTTTCAGCAGTGAGTATGCTATTGCAGTTGATCATAGATCACTGGCAGCTTGGTTTTCAATAACATTGAGACGCATGCATTCTCGATAGCTGCATTAGTCTTCAGCTTCACACTCACACACGGCTGAGATCCTAGTGCACATTCTCAATTAGCCCCAGAGTACAATGGTGATATTTCTTACCTGACAACTCGTATTTTTTCGTGTACCACGATTGTGGAGATCGTTGCTGAATCTGAGAATCCAAGTGGACCCAGTGGGTAAATGTACAGTACTACTTGGATCGAAGAAAGGGTCTAAGTATTGCTTGTTTCTTTGCAGGAGAGGGAAAGAGTACAGAAGCCGGCCAGTGTCGTCCAGGTGGGAGGAGGAGTGACCAGTAAGTTGAACGCCATCTGTTTCTAAACTTGAAATTAATGGGTTCTTGCATTCTCATTGGGAATGTGACATATGACGTAACAATGGTTACATGTTTGTCCTTCCGCATTTAAACCGAACCTTTCTTTCTTCAGATGGCATCACACAACAGAAATAGACAAAGTTATGTGTCTCGGTCAATCATCAATCACCATCCTTAGCAGTCTTCCACCGTCAACCACCTAACTTGTCATCCTCAGTTGGCATCCATCACCCGGTAATCCCAGTGATCAACCACACGCTGCCATCAGTCCTCCATGACTGCAAGAGACCACCCTCCTCCTACCTGTCCAGGTATACAGTTATGATAATCAAACCACTCCAAAGTTTTGAGAATCATTTCCTGAGTGCAGATGATTTTATTTAACTTGACAGAAGCCTTGCAATTATTTCCCTCTGAATATCAAAACCATCATAAGCAGTTAATTCATCATCTTTAACAAGATCTTTTCAATTTCTCTGATCTTAAGAAAATACAATTTTTTTCTCCTCAGGTGTGTTGAGAGTCCAGAGCTTCTTCATTACCTCTACCATTTATACCGCACATGTGCAGGAATCCATACCACTTCATACATATAATCATTCCCACGATATAATCATTCCCACAATCATGCTATCCGATTAGGATGCGAAAGTACTCTCCACCTCTTTTTTAACATGACCACGAGGGCTCTTTAGGATTGCTTGTTTGGCCAAATCGCCCAACTCGTTGTTGGTGTATCGTGTACCTACTGATAACCGGGCAGCTTTGAGATGTTGAGGGGTGTTTCATGTTTCATGGCTCACACTCCTACATGAAACACCCGCTAACACCTTCTAGTTGAACGATGACTCGGTGGTATTCGTAAGCATCGTCTCAGTTAGCTGTATTTGGTGAGCATTTTTAAAGACAACTGCCAACATTCAATACCATTGCAACGAGAATGTCATATTGATATTTTGTTTACATGTTCAACTGTATCATGTTGTTCGGTTTATCGTAGTAGTCTACTGATCCTTGATATTGGGAGTAGAGGATGGAGTATGTTCCTAATCATGTGCGGTCATATGGTTGGTATCACGAAGTGCTTTGCTCATCTTACCCGTGTTATCGGATCCACATCTGTCAAATACTGCCTCGTCGGATGCAATATGCGGAACAGTCTCCAGTCTACCAACATGGACAAAGTCTAGGGCATCCACCAGAGATGGTAAAAATCAGGATCTTAGCCAACCACTTTGATAGACTTCCCGATGTCTGCCAACCACTAATATCTACGTCCAGATCTCTGTCGACAACAAACATGGACCTAGTCATGTGACTCATCCAGATGATGTCAAACTTCAGATGTCAAGCATGGATGACTCCAGAAGGTGAGTTTCAAACTATACATGAAATAATGAATTACGGAATTGTAGTTTCTATATATGCCTTTTCTGTGTACGTATTTGTTCCCAAATGCATAATTATTTTTATCCTGACTCATGATATTTTACTTAAAAAATTACATCTTTCCATCATCTTATCTAAAAAACCTGTCAGATGGCCTATACACTTCCACTGGAAAAGTGGTATTTGAAACAGCCTCAGGTGTTTCATATTTCCAATCATGTGTATATATTCATAAACCTATCCCAAACTTTGTGACAGGAAGGATGGCTTCAACTTTCAAATAGCCAACTTCCCCCTTATATCGAGCACTATCCAAGCATTGTCTGCCTTTGATACATAGATTACACAAATTTGTAGCTAACGCCACGCATACATGCTCTTCATAGCAATAATTTAGATACCCGCAGAATCTGTTTGTTCGGCTCTTCGTACATTTTATATCATAAGGAATATACACTGTAATTCATGTTTTACTCACTGTTTGCATGCTTGTTTGTCGGCCCAGGTATATGTGATTCTGATCCCAGTCTGTACTTGTACAGGTACCATTGCTACAGCAGTAGATCACACCTGTCTCCCACCTGTCACCTGTCAGCAAACTCACTTGTCTCACTATCAGCATCTGCATGGGCTCTACGGTAAGTCTTTAAAACTTAGATCCGAGCAATTAATTTGCATTGTTTAAATAAAACACACATGCACATGCACTAGCTATCTTCCACCCGAACATCCACCAGGCAGCAAAAATAGATTGTGTACTCAGATTTAAGAAAGCATTTGAAGGAAGACCTATCGTAGCCACTTCGTGATGAGGTCGGCATCGTTTTTCTTTCATACTTTCATAGCAGGGGCAACGTGAGGCATAGGTATCCAGCACTCTGCTGGGGTGTGAGGTCGTTTATTTCAGTTGGATATAGGTAGTGAGATCGATAAACGACACACTGCAACATTAAATATAATAATATAATATACATCACACATAATTCATATAAGATACATATAATTCCATACACGGGTTAATGGATATGGATGGTATGGATAATTACCAATAATACCGTAGTTACTCAAAGCATGAATAACATTACTCATTACACATATGGAGTGCGAATTATGAAATTACATCATTACGCATAACGTAATAATACATACATACAATGCAATGCACACATAAAAGGTAATAATACACCATTACGCATTAGTCGTAATGATACCATAGTCCATACACATGATTCATCACCGCACGTTACATGATGGTGCTATATACAGTACATGGATATAATATATACATATACACATACCCTGTGGGTGGTACAAGGACGTACACCAATCACGCACAGCACCAGTCATATGGACGGGGTCTTATCCGTTACAAATAATATTAAATAATAAATAACATGCAAGGTAATGTGGAGTAGATTTAGGGCAACATCCATGAACACAAAATTACTTCTACACATTGATAATTACACTCAACATAGTTATCATAGTTAAAACATAGCAACTTATATCAAAACACATTCCCTCATGTCACACATTCAGTGAAAAGATAGTAAAGATAAGAATATATTAGTGATGCTTATTTATGTTTATAGCTTAGGATTGGACAGCTAACATAATTGCATATAGCACACGTACATGCTATTGAATATAATACCTATTTCAATGATAGTAATTAAATAGATATACTTTTATTATAAAGATACTGCAAGGATTAAATGCAATATATCTTTAATTAAATAATACTAACCTTAATTTGTGTCTGTCCATCGTGGCAAAGAAGCAGCGCAGAATGAGTCAAATTGTGCATGAAGTTAGTCAGACCAGTCAGCGGAGTTAAAGCGTCATGGCTTGGGCAATTGGTCGGAGTAGCCTACCTCTAAAGTTTAACCCTTAAAGTGCCTAATAATAATATAGCTAAAAGGATAGAATAATAAGAACATTATAATAATATATATACACTAAAATACACCTGCCACACTTTTCCAACAGGTTTTACATGCCAATGAATACAGAAATCGCCATGCCTACATTTATAATGCATTCGTCAATGTTATAGATTTTAAAGCCATGTATCTTTATCCAACAGACATCATGAAGCACCTGACTGACACCGTGGCCGTCTTCCCTCCAGAAGGATGTGCAGGATCTCTCCAGGTCCTACATGATACAGAACACTGACCGGGGTGTCTTTAAAGAACTGTCACTCATCAGTACATTAATTGATCTCAGTGTAACTTTCTCTGTCATTTCAAAGCGACAGCGTCCCTGGTATATGAAACCATTACAGTTGAGCAATACCCTAAAGCAGACTTTCTTGAATACAATGGGGTAAACGTGTTAGAACTGTATCAGGACTGTTTCAGAGCTACATTACCAAATAATATGACCTCATTGTCAGGTAAATGCATGTAGGTTTACTGTTACTGGTGCTAAGCACTTCCTCTCTTTAGGCCTGTCAGGAGGGTGGATATATACAGGCGTGGTTGAGCCATGCTACCCTGGATGTATTCAGCCGAGTGACATTCTAAAATGACACTACATATTTTGTCAGGTATGAATTTCAAATGCACATAAGTTTTGGTGTATCTAGATGTTTGGTAAATGGTCTACATTTGAGAAATTGAGTTTGCCTGTCAGGAGGATGGAGTGACATTCTAAATAACATTATATATATATCATATATAATTGGTCAGGTTTGGAATTCAAGTGTATGTTTTGGTGTATTTAGATGTTTGAGAAAGCGTCTCCATGTGAGATAGGAATTGATTTTGGCTGTCAGGAGGATGGATATATACAGACGTAGTTGAGCCATGCTGCTCTGGATGTATACATTCTACTGACAATATAAGGAAGTACATGCACAAAACGCGCACAGCATGACATACGTGGACTAAGCCAGGCAACTAGGCATACATACTTGTCATATGTGGGATGTATGCACATTTCGGACGAAAGTTTAAAACCTGTACCAGCACCGGACGTTGTTTAGCCAGGAACATTGTGAAGCAAGTACTGAGATGTGCTGTGTACACAAGAATGTACAAGATGTACAAAACTGTTTCTAATTCTTTTTCCATGTTCCATGTTCCGTTGTGTTGATTTCCGTCCCCGCCCTTTCCCTACCTCGAATAATATCATTGTATTTTCAATATCTGTAATTTGACAGCGCCACCTGATTGTGTACATAGTCATTGCTGTTTTTCATTCTCTGTTGTGTTTAATCTGAGTTTAAATAAATATTTCACTATATACGAGATTGTGTTGTCAATTTTTAAAAAAATGGAAATCTGAAATGCAGTTAATTTGCTGAATTGTTTCTTAATCGTACCAGGATCCGCTGATCGTTGGTTTAAGACTGGAGTTTCATGCCAGTGCTGTTCAGTTTCACAGCAGTTTGTAGATAAATAAACCCTAATATTTTCCCGATTTATATCACATGGACATTAAGCACATCAAGCTTGGGTTTTTCTAAATGTCCCATCATTATGGGTACAATCTTTCTACCAAGAAGTTGTTGCATAATTCAAATCACGGAGGGTATAGTCGGAAAATTGGCTCTGATTCAGCAGAGATTTCATATGAAAAAT